CACAAACAATAAATCAGAGAGTGTTTGCTTGGAACTCACTGGGGGGGGCAACACCCCTGATAATTGCTCAGGTAGATTTCCAGTGCACTTTTAGGTAAATTTAAGTAGATTTGCAGAAGATTTTCAGGGGAATTCAGGTAATTCTCAGGACATGAGAAAGTGAATTTGGAAAACAACTGTATTTTCGGAAAAATTATTATATGTCCTGAAAATTTTTTGTACATCTGGAAACATTTTGGTCACCCCCCTACCCCCCTCTATCTAACCTCACACACACCCTGAGACGAAGTGCTCGCAACGGCACTGAGTATACATCTTTTGAAAACAGGCGAGGGGTTATTGCATGCATGTATTTCTAGTTTATAACTTATTGTCACTGCAATTGCAGCGCTAACTCAAGGCATTGACATAGAATCTGTCACTTATTGGTACTTCAATTGTGGTGCCAACTCAAGGCATTGATATAAAATCTATAATTTAATTGTACTACAGTGTCGAGACTATAGATGAAAGGAGATATGCTTTCGATCATCATTTTGGTAAAATTAGGGCATCCTACAGGGTTATGGGGCCAAATTCCCATTTCGTTCATTGACAGTACTTAGTACTCACTGCATCAGTACACGTCTTTCAATAACAGTACATGATACTCAGTATATCGAAACCATGCAGTTACCAAGTATTTGGAATGAAATTTCTGTCCTGAGTCGGTGATCACTTACTGTCGATGCAATAGAAGTGTTGATAAAATAATGCATGAATTCATTTCCTCAAGTTGATCAATTCATTTGATAGAAAATTGATCAACTTCCTGTTACTTTTAGATGAGCCAATTAGATTTTGTTTCAGAACTGATTGACCAATAGGAAACGCACAGGAAGTAAAACGAAATTTGAATTCATATGAATTGATGAACTTGAGGAAATGAATTCATGCAATATTTTATCAACAATTCCATTGCATCGACAGTAATCATTCAAATTCTGTGAGTTTTCCTAATTGTTCAAATAGGTTCAAATTGCATCAAAAATTGTGCAACAGTTATTTAGTAGAAAACAGTTAACTCCTAATTCCCCCCTCTTGACATAAAACGACGCATTTGGCGTTTCGTCTCCGGGCGAAGCTTTGAGTCATGTAGTTCGAAGGCAGCGAGGTAAACACAGTCTTTCGATAGTTCATCTGTCCATATTGTGCCACCATGGACCCATGGTTCCCACTTTTTATTCCACGAGCCCTAACCTTCCAGTACTCTATTATCACCTTATCTTCGAGTTTTTTCATAACTTTTCCAATAACTGGTGACTTTGCATATCCCACCAAGGCTACAGCAACAAATCCACCAACAAGAACATGCTCCCAAATGTCATCAACATGTGTCACTCCAGGTCTGACATAAGGTCCTGTATACACCTGTAGATATATATTTTAAAAATAAGATCAAAACTATGACTGATCATCAGATTATTAATTAGATGCTTTGAAAATGAGTGCCATAGTTGAAGTCTTTCAGAGAAAATACATTATATGTACCACTTTTGTCTGAAGTTAGAAATTGTAAAGATACAGTATAAACTATATACTGCACTGACTGAGCCACTGAAGAGTGGTTTATTATATAAAATTATTTTATTCTCATTTCTCAGTTTCTCACATGCTCACAGCCGACTACTGTAGCTGAGTCAATAGACAATAGATATAAATACATAATAGGCCTACATACTATAAACGAGTCATGTTTATATCCCTTGCATTGTTTACATGCAGTTGCCACCAGGGAAATTCCAATTATAACATGCAATACTTTTCTGTCAACAGTGCCAAGGTTTTTAAAAAGGTTTGCAATATATATATATATTCATACTTTTTATATTCACATAAATCTTCCAATCGTCCCAGCCATTAAATCGCGGGCATATGTACCCTTAAATTGTCAGGCATGCCGGATATCATATGCCATGTATAAACATGTTGCATGCTTGCAATGCTTTGCAATGCACGTTTGGAGGAAATTGTACAAATTTTGACATGTATATTTATTTAAAAGCGCGAAACATGGCGATTTTGGACTTTATTACCTTTTAATATGGAAGGAAATGTAAGAAAATATATTAATTTGTAAAATGTATATTAATTAAAGTTATACCTCTGGTATTTCTGCCAATTGTCCATTAACCAATTCTGTTAATTCACTTGGTATGCATTCAGGAACAGCTAATTGTTGTTCTTCTTCAATCTCTTGCAACGTCACATGGTCATTGTTAGGATACAAGCTTCTGCTCTTGACAAGTTTTAACTCATCCAGAAGCCACTGGTCCTGGATTTGTTTGTTTCAGCATGATATGTTTCATTGGATTTTTCAAAGAATTCATTCCACTACTGTTTTTGATCTTCTGTAATGATCCTGGAGTTGTTTAGAAACTTTGGTATGTCCCTTTTTAGTCTATCCATGTCAACATTTTCAGGCGACGAAGGGACAAAATTTGGCACAGACTGTGGGATGCTTGTGTCCTAAGGTAAGTATTAATAAATAATTAAAACTGTTTTAGTTTATCATTCTGTAAGTGAAGGAGACACTAGAAGCAGCCCAGCACATCAGTACTAATCCTTTGATTCCTAAAATTTGTGATGATGAGATGAAAATACATTCGGGAATTATATCCAGGTCAAGGAGATAGTGTACCCTGTATTCTTGGGTTTCATATGACATCATGAATTTGAGTGCGGGTCAACTCTAATGTATTTTGTCTTAAGTCTTAATGTCTCCCATAGTAATTGCTGCATACTATAATGACATTTATGATATTTTACTAATTTCTGTAGATAATACTATGCAAGAAAATTTTGGTTGACAAGTTTCAAAAGAATAAATGTTCTGAGTGGCGTATAATGTGTTCTACCATTCTTCGTGGATCGGTATGTTGCTTTCTTTAATATTTAGCAGTTAATACAGTTTTAATAAAATTAAGACTTGATTGCACAAAGGTAACATATGTTCCGCCGGCTACTTGAAATTTCACCGCCGGCTACTTTGCGTCTGGTCCCAGGAAAAAAATTTATATACAAAGGTACAAGCGAACAACCAACATGATGTTTGTTATGTTCCAATTGGAATTCAAACAAAACATCACTTATTTTGGAGGATCCATAAGATCAATAATACATAGTACCAAACATAGCTTGCTTTCTTAAGTTGCTAGTGTCGATTGTCGAAAAAGCGATAATATAAACATTATTTGTTTTCTCGTCGCCATCTTGAATTTCGTAGCAAATGGTCAGCGGCTCTGAATCTTCCTGAACAGGAAGATTACTCTGATTGACTCGACAGTGACTTAAGCATTGGGGAATCCGAATTTGACAGTGAGCCAGAGAACGAGTCAGATTCAGAGCTACTTTGGTAAATGTTTTTCAAGTGACTAATTCTTTGACAGTGAATTAATTAATGATAAAGTGATGAAGTAAAGTTCATTACGTACATAAGTAATAGCATCATTTGATTAATGATTTCGGACTCATAAATTAATACTAATAGTGTACATTGTCATTCGGTTCATGCAGCTGTAAAAATTAAACTACTAGTAGCACATTAAAGTACATTGTCACTTACAAGTATAAATGCAAATTACATCTAAATGTAACATGTTAACAGTTATTTGATTGTTAATAATTTGCGGCAAAAATTTTTTAAATTTCCATGCGAGGGCACGCCACCCTCCCTGTGTGATTTTTTAACTATCAGTCACAGCCGGCTACTTTTTTGGTACAGCCGCCTACTTCAAATCATTCTGAAACCCCTGGTAACCATAACACAAATCCCCCTCAAGCAGGGTTCGAATTAACAGTGTGCAATTTGCAGATCATTTCGTCCAAAATTGGGAAAATTGCACATCACTTTTCCAAATGATATGCGCAAAAAACTGTTATTAGTAAAGTGGTTGAGTCTAATGCTTATTTCCTCTTAAATTTATATATCCAAACTTTTGTAAAAAGGATCATTTCAGTTCAGTTGTTTCTACTATATACTCTAGAGATTTTATAATACATGCAAAATTTGTTCAAAGTGCTACTTGACAGGACATATAGTAATATCTAAAAGATGTGATTCGGAGCCAAATTTTGTCCTAAAAATTGCACATCATTTTTTCTGAACTAATTCGAACCCTGCCCTCAAGTGTGTATATGCTACTCAACCAATAATATCCATAATTTTTCATATGGTATTAATTCTGTTGTTAACTCGTTTTTAGGAATCAGCTCTGGCACATGTTCTTTTCATAAGTTCAGATGTTAGTGAGGAAGTGTTTGAGCTGGTATTGAGCATGATTTCAATGTTCATGAAAATGGAGCTGAAAGGCCAACGTGCTTCTAAAAAATGCCTGCAATCTGGTATTTTGCACTTGGACTTACCATATTACAAATTGAAATGCATGAGAGGTTCACTCACTGAGGAGAAACTAAAGAGTGTTATCACTGAAGTAATCGCGAAAGAAAAGTCTTTACATGAAATGGAGGCAGAATTTGTTCGGCTAAAGGAAATGCGTGCCTTGCAGAATTTCTTCATCAGGCATTCAAACTGTGAGTCTTGGAAAGAAGCACAAGAAAGGTAAATGAATTAAATTAACACACTCTTTCAATCATTATGTCACAACTACATTGTTTTCAACTTAGGACCACCCTAAATGGAAAGGATTTCAAGTTGTTTCTCATGAGTTATGCCACAATTAATGATTTGGAAACTCGAAGAAGTGCATGCAAAAATGCGAAGTTATGCAAAAATGTGTCCCTTATCTGTCATATGCGTATTGTATTTTCAGCTAAGCAGCCATTCCAAAGCACTAGTTTTTTATCCATCTGTGACTTGGACAATTGCCCAGTTTAGACATTGCAATTCATTGTTTGGGTGAAAATATAGTACAATACAGTACACATGTCACAGATAAGTCAGCCTTCGTCCACAATTCTATTTAATTTTAAGCTGAGTGTATTAAAATTCAGTTATATTATTTTTGTAAGGTTTCCATTGTTCACCACTGAAGAAAAACTACAAGGTTTCCGAGGCGATGTAATACATGGCAAATGCAAGGAAAGATTTTTATCTTTTATGCATCGAGTTATGGCAACTGAATTTGCTGACCGGGAGAATCCAGCGTCAAAGATGGTTGAACTGTTGACTGTCGACTGCCTGGCAGAACTCTCTCCAACATTAACAGCTGAAATTCCCCTCTTCAGTGGTTCAGAGCTTGTCTTTTTAGACGTGCCAAAGGTAAGAGATGTAATAAATTATCCAACATATAATAGACAATTTGCATCACAGGCTAAATTTTAATGTAAGCAAAAACACCACAGCTAAAACACCACAGCTAAAAAGAACATAATGTTTGTCTGAAGTTTGGTTGCAAAATGTCGTAAACTTTCCAAGGCTATAAATATTTTCCAAATCTTTAGCAAATATATAATTTTTGGCATACATGAAAAAATTAGTCTATAATGCAAATTGCCATTAGCTGCCACACTGGTTTAGTTTAATGCATGCGATCGCTACACATGGTGTGGTTTGTGTGTGCAATTGGAGTTGTGTGGTGACTGCATTTGTTAATTAAACTTCATTCTGGTTGAGATGTTGTCATAAATTTTAGCTCATTCAACATAGTTTGTAATGAAGTGTGTCATATTTCTTAACTTTGTTAACTTTAGAAATGCAGAAGATTGATTTTTGGCAATATTTTTGTGTGTTTTAATTGCTTGCATGACTACTCCTTGAAATTATATAATGTATATATGTAGTGGTTTTACCTCAAAAATGTTGCCACAAGCTTGCTTCGTCTAAGAGGAATTATCAGGTGAATTTAAATAACGTGCTATGTTGTTGCCTATGATTCAGTACTGACACTGTATTAATATAACCCTTTTGACATCAAACATGTACACAGTATATCCTACACAACAGCATAGCGTGTTATTTAAATTCACCTGATGAGTGTGGCAAGCCTCGTCTTGGGACAAATTTGTAGTGAAATAATGCTCATATGAAGTAACTCAAGTTTGTCTACTGTTATTAGCTCTAACTACAGTATTCATGAGGACTCTACTCATTTTATGATTCCAAACTTGATACCTGTCTACATATATATGGTATATACTATACAGTATATCGTTTCGGGAATCATTAACAGGATAAGAAAACAAGCGAATTAGGTTGCAGATGGTTGATTATTATTTTGCTATTTTGCCTCTCTAGGATTGGACACAAGAGGACCTGAAACATTTTTTGAAAATAATTAAGGGCATTGACATCAGAAATAATGTTCGAGAAACGAGATATGTGATGTTTCCAGTGACCAACCCTACAAAGATCCAGATGAAGCAAGTCAACATGATGGCAAGTGTGCTGGATGAAATGCAGCTAGGATGGGCCATTGCCTATTATCAATATTCCAGTACCACACCAAAAGGTAACAAACTTGATAAATTATATAATTCACAAGAGATTTGTTTATTTGTAGGTTTTCTAGTCAGTCATGCAACTTGAAACATGTTTACACAATAAGTGAAATTGTTTGGGGCAAGACAGTTAGTTAAGGCGGATTTCCAGTCCTCGCACGAAGCTCCTCGCAGCTCGCTGCAAGTGATGCATGAGCACTTTCATCCAATCACAATGCTAGACAGTTAAGTTAATGAAATATTTTTTTTCTAGAGCAATGTCTCCTCACAAACTCGACCTTCCCTTTCCTGGTAACCAGGACCTCCAAGATTGTGAAGAGTAACAATCATTTTTCTGTCCCTGAGGATATCGCCATTAAAGAAAGAGACAGTGGTATGGTTTACAAAAGACAAAAGCCAGTAAAATTATATGAAGAACTTTTAGAGGTTTTGAAGGCAGACAAGTCACAACATGTGATAGATGCATGCAGTGGTGTCGCCTCTTGCGCAGTGGCTTGTCTGTCAAAGGACATAAAATGTGTTGTTCTTGAAAAATCTGCCATAAAGGCGAGGTTAATTTCTCAGAGACTAAAACATTAAATCAAGTAAACTCTGTTACTATAGTGCATCCTTAGCTTATATATACATATTCAATTACGGTTACCCAAGCAATAGTCTAATATTTAGCTATTTATTCCAAATACAAAGTGCAAAAGCTGTGTTATTGTATACATGTTTTTGTAACCACCTGATATGTAAGTACTAATATCTATTGCTTTCTATAGTTATCAAAATGACTACTTGGTGATTGATACAGGTGATCAATTGCTATAGGTTTGGTGTGAACTTGTTAT